AATCACTTAAAATCTATCTTTTGTAGTTAATAACTTGTTTTTGTTGTCTCTAAAACCAGTCTGTGGGATTCATAACTGGGGGGCAAAACATTGTGCATATCTTCCTCCCCATTGAGGGAGGGGGCGAATTTCAATGAGCTTATGCTGTATAGTTCTCTGTGCAGCAGAAGACGATACAATTTGGGGTTTACACCCCAGAGGGAGTGTGCACTTGTGTGCTGAGCAGTTCCTTAGCTGAGCTCTCCCATAAAGAGCTGATCTCAGCATGTGTGTGAATATAGCTGCAGCAGGGTGTGTCTCTACCTGTGTGTGTGCTGGAAGGGGGCTTGAGAGCCTGTCACAGCAGCACAGAGTAAAGGGGAACCCAGGCTGGGACAGGCGGGTTCAGTGGTATCCAGTTCCAAGTGGCACCCTAGGGGGAACCAATCACAGGGGGGTTGCCAACTTGGTAATATTTAAAAAACTGACACTTCAGCAGCAGTGCTGGAACCTCCCCTGCCCCGCCCCATCCCCCCTGAGGCCCCACCCCTTCCCTGCCCATTCCTCCCAAAGCCCCACCCTTGCTCCACCTCTTCCCCTGAGGCCCCGCCTCTGTCCACTCCTCTTACTCCTCCCACCCATTGCTTGCTTTCTCCCTCCCACCCACCCCCACCACCCGGGTCAGGAGGGACTTGCCTGCAGAGCCAGGGCTGGGAGATGCAGCTGCCTGATGAAGGTAGTCCCGGCTGAGTAGGGGCTGGAGCGGATGATGAACCAATGCCCCCTCGCCTCCCCCACTCGCAGTAACTGGACTTTGGGTGTCCAGTCAGTAGATCTGACCAGACACTGTCAGGCCCCCTTTTCCACCGGACTTTCCAGTCGAAAACCAGGCACCTGGGCACCCTAGCTATAGGACCCTTATGACCACAAATGCTCAGGAATTTGGTTTTACAGCTGGTCTGAAAGGAGGCCCCTGGTGCTGTGCTGGAGGACTGGCTTACTATCAAGCCTCTGCTCTCGCATCGCAAGCATCACTTCTGGTTTCACTGCATGCTCGCAGGACCAGAGGCGCTGGAACTAAGGATGCTGGGGGTGCTACTGCAGCCCCGGCTTGAAGTGGTGTTCATCATAGACAAGGTCTACAGTTTGCAGGGTTTACAGTTTGGTTCAATGGCTCTCTGCACTCCTGCCATACACATACATTATTCCAGCGCCCCGCCAGCGGAAGCAGCGTGTTATTTTACACCACTGGAACTGAAAGGCAAATGGTGACAGGTTCTCTATGCTGCTTACCGCTTTGCTCTCATCCCGATATCTTTTAGGATGGTCTCAGTTTTCCCTGATGGATTCATGATAGTTGTTCGCAGATTCTTTAACTGGACCCCAGCATACTGAAAATGTTTTAAAAATGATTAAAGGAATTTAATTACTCACAATCTTAAGGGTACACCTACAAAAGGACATGTTCAGGATGAGACACAAGGGATTGCTACAGCAGGTTCAGAGTTGTACCGGGCATCTCTGGGTTAACTATACAGTAGCGCAGGGGTTCTCAAACTGCAGGTCGGGACCCCTCAGTGGGGCGTGAGGTTATTACGGGGAGTGGGGGGGAGAAGCTGTCAGCCTCCACCCCAAACCCCACTTTGCCTCCAGCATTTATAATGGTGTTAAATATATAAAAAAGTGTTTTTAATTTACAAGGGAGGTCGCACTCAGAGGCTTGCTATGTGAAAGTACAAAAGTTTGAGAATCACTGCAATAGCAAAATATGAAAATCTACAACTTTATTTTCTGCAACTAAACTATATTTCAGGGCCTCAGCTCAGTGAAACAGCTTGCTTGAATTCCTGAAGAAACATTTCTGAATTACAACATTACACAGTACACAGATTTCTGTCCATCCACCTAAGTATTTGTATATACTGCACTCACAACAAGGGCTCCATTAACTGAAGAAGAGAACAAAGTCTATAGCATTAAAAATTGAGACGGGGACGTGTCTAAGATAGGTGACAAATCTGAGGAACTGTCCCCTATTGAGGTGTCAACCGAGGAGATTTTGAAACAAACTGATAAATTAAACAGTAATAAGTCACCAGGAGCAAGTGGTATTCACCCAAGAGTTCTACAGAAAGTCAAATACAAAACTGCAGAACTACTAACTGTGGTATGTAACCTGTAATTTAAATCAGACTTTGTACCAGATGACTGGAAGATAGCGAATATAACACCGTTTATTTTAAAAAGGCTCCAGAGGCAATCGTGGCAATTACAGGCTGGTAAGCCTAACTTCAGTACCAGTCAAATTGGTTGAAACTACAGTAAAGAACAGAACGATCAGACACAGAGATAAACACAATATTTTGGCAAAGAGGCAACACAGCTTTTGGAAAGGGAAATCATGCCTCACCAACTTCTTAGAATTCTTTGAGGGTGTCGACAAGTATGTGGACAAAGACGATCCAGTAGATAGAGTACACTTGGGCTTTCAGAAAGCCTTTGACAAGATCTCACACTAAGAGCTCTTAAGCAAAGTGAGCAGTCATGGGATAAGAGGGAAAGTCCTCTCATGGATCAGTAACGGGTTAAAAGATAGGAAACACAGGGTAGGAATAAAGGGTCAGTTTTCACAGGGGAGTGAGGTAAATAGCGGGGTTCCCCCAGGGATTTGTACTGGGCCTAGAGCTGTTAGACATATTCATAAATGATCTGGAAAAGGGAGTGAACGGTGAGGTGGCAAAGTTTTCATTTGATACTAAATTACTCAAGATAGTTAAGTCCAAAGCAGATAGTGAAGAGTTACAGAGGGATCTCACAAAACTGTGTGACTGGGCAACAAAATGGCAGATGAAATTAAATGCTTCTAAGTGCAAAGTAATACACACTGGAAAACATAATCCCAAGTACGCATACAAAATGATGGGGTCTAAATGAGCTGTTACCACTCAATAAATATGTTGGAGTCATTGTGGAGAGTTCTATGAAAACATTTGCTCAATGTGCAGCGGCAGTCAAAAATGCTACCAGAATTTCAGGAACTATTAGGAAAGGGATAGATAAGAAGACAGAAAATTCCATAATGCCACTATAAAAATCCATGGTATGCCCACACCTTGAATAGTGCATGCAGTTCTGGTCGCTCCATCTCAAAAAAGATAAATTAGAATTGGGGAAAGTACAGAGAAGGGCAACAAAAATGATTATGGTTATAGAACAGCTATGAGGAGAGATTGAAAAGAGTGGGACTGTCCATCTTGGAAAAGAGACAAGGGGGGATATGTAGAGATCTATAAAATCACAATTGGTGTGGAGAAAGTGAACAAGGAAGTATTATTTACCCCTTCACATGGGAGCAGCACAAGAGCTGGGTACATTTGTTATTATTTAAGCCAACCGGGCTGAATAAAGAGGGCAGAATTTGGCCCATACCATCAGCAATGGACCTTTGCCACAAAATTCAGATCAGGCTCCAAATTCCAAAACATCCCCCCACCTGCCCCGCCCCTCCTGTCACAGCTCCGGGTGTTCAGACGCAGGGTTTGGTTCAGCCAATTTCATACGGCTCCTTCTAGCCATGAAGTGTGGATCTGGATCTGGGTTTAGATTCAACCCCCAGTGCTGGGACTGTTCGGATCTGAGCACATTTGATTCAGGCCCATCTCTACAGCCCATACTTTATCCTCCCATGCGATTTCGGAGAGGGCTTTCCGCAGCAGTGGCTAACGCTCTGCGCTGCGGGTGGGTGCGAGGAGGCTGCGCTGCAGCTGCAAGGTTCATAGCGGACTCCACTAGAATCCCTTCCCCCTGGGGCTCCCAGGGAACATTCTCTGCAGAGGCAGCTCCACCAGCCTCTGTGCTCCCCCCTGCATCCAGCCAGCCCAGCTGGCCAGTGTGGGGCAGAGGCACAGCGCTGCCCTCTTCCCACCCTGGCTTCCTCCCCACACCTTGGAGAGGCTGTTGCTGGTGGAGGCACTAGCACAGTGCAGGGACTCTGCTCCTAGTCCCAGGGCAGATTCCTGGCCCCCTCTCCCAGCTGCGCAGTGCCAGCTGCAACATGGCCCTGCATGCTCGCTCTGTGCTGGAAAATGCCAAGGCCTTTAAGGGGAGGTATTTGCCCTCAGAAAGCCCCTTACCTCAATGCCCGTCAGCGCCACAAACAAGCGAAGGATATCATTGGTGCCCTCGAAAATGCGGAAAATCCTCAGGTCCCTCAAGACTCTTTCGACACCAGTTTCCTGTGCAAACAAAGACCTTAATAGACTCAAGCGATCCCAGCAAGGGGAGTGCACGCAGCTGCCTTGGCAGAGCACTCCAAGCTTCTGAATACAGCCTTGAAAATGATGCACGTGGTTCTGTTCTTGGTGGATGGAACCAAGCTCGTTTACCTGCATGTATCCCATTCCTCCAAGGACCTGGATGCACTCGTCTGTGACGTACCAGGCTGCTTCCTAAAGATAAAAACATCACAGTGCAATAGAAGGGAATGTTTCTAGTCTCGATGTGATAACTCAGGTGTGTCACCATAATAGCAGTTAGCACAGCGGCTCTGGGCAGTCCTAGGTGGGCCTGCGTTTGTTATAATACTGTGATGTCCACGGTGGTTATGTGTTAGTTACCTGTGCTGTATCTCAGATGGGTGCACACCCAGGGTACCAAAACCAGAGACCTTTTTCCCCTTGCAGAACCCCTTGGGGCAGCCCTGGCACACGCCCCAGGCTCGTGTTACCAGGTGACGGCATAAAGGGAGACCCATCCTGAGCCTCCCTCCTTTCTCTCTTACTGGAAATCAGTGAGTTTGACTCCAATGTAGAGGGGAAGGAGGTGGATTGTGGGATGGACATGTGCAACACATCTCAAATGACAACAGTCACAGAACAGGTAAGTAGCCATTTTTTCTTCTTCAAGTGATCGCACATCCCCATTCCACATCAGGTGACTCACAAGCACTTTGGCAAGGACGAGGGTTTTGGAGTCTGTCTGAGCAAGGACTGCAACACCACTCATCCAAACCCAGCACCATCTCTCAGTGCCTGGGAAACAGCTTCGTGTCTAGTGAAAGGAGGCACCAATGACCAGGCTGCAGCTCTGCGAATATCACTCATGTGCACCTGACCCAGGAACGCAGCTCACGCTGCTTGAGCTCTTGTAGAACGCACTGAAACTCCCCCAGGCAGAGGGAACTCAGCAATGGCAGAGCACAATAGGGTGCAGGACGAGATCCAGAAAGATAGTCTCTACCCAGACAGGGCGACCCTTCAGTCTGGCAGACAGAGAAATCAACAGCTGAGGAAACAGCCTAAACTGTTTCGTCTTGTCCAAGTAACAAGCCAACGCCCTTTGGGCATCCCAAGCATAGAGCCCTCCTCATCTTCACGAGGCTTCAGAAAAAAGCTCAGTAAGTAGGTAGGCTGATTAAAGTGAAAGTGCAAGACTACTTTAGTCAGAAATGTAGGGTGAGGATGCAAATCAACCTCATCTGTATAGAAAACTACATCTGGAGGGTCAGCACCTAACGCACACTGCTCTGCTACCCTGCTGGCAGAAGCACCAGGAATGATGCTTTCATGGAAAGATGGAGCAAGGAATGTGGAGCCATAGGTTCAAAAGGTGAAACCATTAGAGCCTGCAACAGCTGTAGGATAAATATGACATTAAAGAGTTGGCGTTACCTTAAGTTTGGTTAAGGAAATATCTGTGCTATGAAGAAAGGCCCCGACTAGCATGTAGAAGGAAGGCAAAGAATGAGTGACAAGGCCAGAAGGAATGAAGGAGGGAGGTTCAAAGAATAACTGATGAGATAAGGGGAAGGCAGGGGTGGCTGCGAATGAGGATTATAAAGGTGTGCTCCTGCCCGAGTTTGCATAACACTCTTGGAATCAGAGGGACGGGATTAAAGGCATATAGTAGCTTGTCCTTCCATGACAGCAGAAAATCATCTGATATAGATCCTGGGCTGTGACCTGCTCTGGAACAAAACAGGTGACACTTCCTGTTCAGATGAGTAACCAAGACATCTATTTCTGGTACCCCCACGACTGAGTTCTTGATCTGACCAAAGACCCTGAGTCTGACGGTCTCCTAGGTAGGATCCCCACCCCAGGGATGAAGCATTTGTGACCAATGTCATGGAGGACAGAGTCGAGGAGAAAGGAAATCCTTTGCATACATTGGCAGGGTCCACCCACCAATCTAGGGATGACAAGACGCTTGCAGGTATGCGAGTCAGCATGTCCAATGGATGACGAGATGGTCAGTAGACTAACTTCACCCACCGTGCACGCCTCTGTGATGCAAAGGCTGCCATGCTGAGTCACGTATGTGCAAGCTGCCCTGTGCCCCAGAAGTCTCAGGCAATTCCTTCCTGTTGTGCAAGGATGGGCTTTGAGGTCTGCACAGAGGTCCTGTATTGCTGGGACTCTGGCCAGGCACAAGGGTGCTCTTGCTGAAGTCGAGTCTAGATCTGCCCCAATAAGCCTGATTTTCTGCACAGGGCTGAGTACTCACTTATCCTTGTCAGAACGAAAGTGACCCTGGATCTCGTTGATGTCCCTGAATTAACCAGTCATCCAGGTACAGGAATTCCTGGACATCTGGCTTTCTGAGATGTGCTGTCGCCAGGGCCATGCACTTTGAAAAGACTCACAGGGCTGAAGATGGACTGAAAGGCAGGACAGTGAACGGATAATGAATGTTGGCCACGATGAACCTTCCTCCTGCGGCTCTGGTGGATGGCCGTGTGGAAATCAGTCAAGTCGAGAGCGGCAAACCAGTCATTGGGATCTAGAGATGGATAACAGAGGCTACACTTACATGGGGAAATTTTATCTCTTTATGTATTTGTTTAGGTTTTGCAGGTGCAAAATAGGTTTGAGTCTTCTCGCAGAAGGAATGGGAATAGAATCCCTTCCCCCAGTGTTGAGGAGGGACCTCTCTGGCTCCCAACTGTAAACCAGACGGTATTTCTTGGATAAGAAAAGTCTTGTGAGATTGGCCCCTGAAAAGGGACTGGGGCTGGGTATCTAGGTACCCTGGCTAGGTAGGGGGAATAGAGACAAACTGCAAGGAATATCCTAGTTCCACCGTGCTCGGTATCCAGCGACTGACTGAAATATGGGTCCAATCAGCTAGGAAATGGGATAACCTGCTGCCAAAGGGAGTGATAGGAGAGATGAGATCCAGACGCAGTGGTACTCTGGCCTCGACTAAGAAGTCCAACAGGCTGCTGAGAGGTCGAACACTGTCTTGATGAAGTCAAAGCAGATGGAGGAGGAGGTGGCCTTGTCCTGTGGAATTTATGTCATCTCTGCTTCCTCAGGCTGCCTCTGAGGGTAAAATGGTACCACTGGGTTGTCTGAGGAGGAAAGTGCCTGAAGGTTCCTTCCCAGCGATCTAAGGGCTGCCCTAGAATCTTTTAGGGAATGCAGCGCTTCATTGGCTTTCCCTGTAAACAAATTAGGGCCCTTAAACAGGAGATCCTCAGTTGTCGGTTGGATCTCCGCTGGAATCCCAGATGCTTGCAGCCACGAAGATCATCACATCATAGGCACAGATGCCATCACTCTAGCCTCAGCCTATTCAAGATGGCTTGATGGGAAGTTCTGGCTACCAGAAAACCCTTGTTAATCATGGCTCAATATTCCTGTCTAACCTCTTCTGGCAGTTTGTCAATAAAGTTAGCCCTGTTACCAGAGACTGGGAAACTGTATCTGGCCAGGAGAGCCTGGTAATTTATTCTCCTGACCTGTAACCCTGACATTGCATAAAGGTTTCTTCCAAAAAGATTTTGCAGTGAAAGAGTTTTTTGGAGTCATTATTTTGAGGTGGATTTGGCATGACCTTGGCGTGATTTCTCATTGACTGCAGCCACCACCGAGCCCAGGGTAGGGTGCGAATAGAAATATTCATGACCTTGGAATGGCACTTGGTATCTGTTCTCTGGGCAGTGGGAGGAAGCGATCCTGGTGTTTGCCATATAATTTCTGTAGGCTCCAGGATGGCTTAATTAATCAGTAGAGCTACTCTACCAGGTCCTGAAGTATGTAAGACATTTCTCCAGACATTTCTCCTTGTTTCAGAGGTGACTTAGACAAGTGAGGTCCCGGAGAAGTACGGAAAGTGGATGGCGTGCTCCACGGGTTCCAGAGGGCCCACAGATAAGTCCTGGTGCCCCAGTGAAAAGTAGCCCATGGCCTCTTGTCTCTAGACCTGCCCTGAGAGAGCCCCAGTACCAAGATCTGGATCACTGCAAGGAGGATAGAGAATTATGAGATCTCCTATAATAGGACTGGGATGCATAAGATTCCTTGGAGACACAGTACTCCGTGGGGCAGGTGACTGGGACTTGTGGCTGGATGTGGCAGTAGTGGGACAGCAGGGTGGCTGACCCTGGGAGAGTACCAAGTGTTTGAGTTGCAGCTGCTCATCGTAGGTACCGACGTTTGCCGCACTGAAGCCGGAATCGAATGGTACGTCACTGATGATGTAGACAGTTCCGGAGCTTGTGAAGAAGTAGCTGCTACCAATGACCAAAGCAAGTCTCTAGCTACTGCACACAGGCTGTTGTGGGTGTCGAGGATGGCATGTGTAGCCGTGTGCTGGCGTGCAGATGATACAGATAGCCCAGGCCAAGGAGTTGGTCCCAGTAGTACAGAGGATGGTACCAGAGTCAAAGAGCTCCCTGATGAGGAAGATCTGTTAGGCTTAGAGGCATGTGGGTCACAGGATTCAGCTTCTTGTCGGGTCCTGGGGAGGGAGAACAATGCCTCCCTTCTGAACCTCTCTGAGGAGGGATAACGGAGACGTCCGGCGGTCACCCCATGATGGAGTAGAGCCCAGGGACTGTGTGCCAAGCAGCAGGGCTTGGAGGGAGGACACAAGTCAGCTTGCATCAGAACGCAACAAAGTCTCACCTCCTGAAATGGTTTGGTCCTAATTTTGAACCCCCTACAAATCAGGCACCTGCCCTGAACGTGGCCCTCCCCCAAACCCTTCAGCCACCGGTCGTGAGGGTCACAGACAGACAGAGACTTATTACAGCCAGAACGTTGTTTAACACCCGGGGAACTCAACATGCCCCAGCACCACGCGTGGACAGGCCTAACTACAAGTCTGAAAACCCAACAGAAAATGGACTGAAATGAGCCATTATCTAACCAACAGCCGAACTATTTACATCACTTTACAGACTTCTCTCAGAGGAAAAGGGAAGATTGTGCAAGCAGGCACACACGCGCCCCTACCGACCATGGGTGGTGAGGAAGAACTGAAGGGGGGGTCGGGGCGGCTCTGCCCCTTTATACCATCAGCTGGTAGCATGAGCGTGCAGCGGTCGCATATGCCGCCCTGACAGGTACCACTCAGGGAAAAAGTTCTCCAGCTTCAGCACACTGGGCGTGCAGACACCTGATGTGGCCTGGCCACATGCAATCACTCAGCGAAGAACTGCAGGCACTGGGTTCTGCTGCTGACTCCACAAGGGCTGCTACGGCACGGCACTGCGGCAGTAGCCGGGCAGTCAATGCAGCCAATGCTGCGGGAAACAGCCTGGTCTGGAGAGAGACTTGTAGGGAAGCCAGCTCCAGTGGACACTGCTTAGTCACACCTGCCCTTTGCATTGTCCATGCCCAGCAGTGAGAACCGGGTGGTTTGGGGCGGAGGGATCTTCCAGGAGAAGGGTGGGACAGGAACAGGCCACCTGCTGGAAGCAGGAGAGGCCGATCGCAGTCCGGGAGGGAGCTGCTCTCTGGCTCCAGGGTTGATGCCTCAGCTGGGGTTCCTGAGGGTGCAATCCCTGGGGTGCAGTGCCACCTGCGAGGAGAGAATACCTTGCCTCTGCAGCATGCCTTTCCCTTCCAGTGGGACACCGACGTGGCAAAGCCCTGATACCTGCTACTGCTCAGCAACGGGGCAGCATGAGCCCAACACTGACAGGCCACGCTTGCTCTGACCCCTCCTCGCAGAGACATCTCGCGCTGGGAATCAAACACACTTACCGAGGCAAAAATCTTGCTGATTGAAGCTTCGAGCTTGTAATCGGGCACCTTCATGTCCATGTTGGCGCTCACCACGTAGGCCATCGACTGAAGGGAAACCAGCCATTTGCCTTTGGTTACACAGTGTATGTGCCCAAGACACCATCCCACACCCCGGGGTATGCTGTATGGAGGGGCTGGCTTGGCTCCATCCTCTCCTTCTCTTCTGCAGCGGGCACCGCCCATCAGAGGTCCCATCTCCAATTCTACCCTTTCCATGCTGTCCCCTGCAGGCATAAGGCCCATTCTGACCTGATTCATAAGGGGCACTACCCTCCCCTCCTTCCATCCCCCCTCAGCCCAATTCCCTGCCCTGCACACGAGAAGCCAGGCAGCCAGTGAAGGGCAGGCTGAGGGGCAGGAAGATGTGGTGGCATGTGCGGGAAGCGGGATATTACACTCATTTGTTCTACCTTATTTCCAATTCGACTGTAAACGCTGGGGCAGGCCTTCCCAAGTGCTCAGACAGCACCATGCTCACGGGGACCAGATCCTGCCTTGGGGCAGCTGGGCACTGCTGCAATACCACCTGGGCTGCTCCTCAGCAGGTGAAAACCAGCAGAGCGCCACTGGCTTTCATTTACTCACAGTCCCGGCAGCGGAGCTCTGCTGGCTTCTTAAACCAGCTCACAACAGAGACTGCTGCTAGTAATCCTGCAGCCTGCTGCACCCAAGGCTAGCACACAACTGCCCGGGGGGGGCACAGATCCTGCCAGCTCAGCAAAAGGCCACAACAATTAGGGGAAAATGCAATATGCATGTTCCAGGTGATACTGGAGAGAGAGAGATACAGTCCTTGCCCACTGAAGTGCCTCCTCTCCTGCAGGGCGAATTCCCAGGAATTGTGAGTTCCTGGATTGGTTGGCTGGCTTTTGGTCAGGGTGGGAGAGGAAAGGGGTGTTTTGTTTGTGTGTTTTGGGGAGGATTGGGGTTGCTTGTTTTTTGTAAACCCAAGGCTGCTTTCAACCTGCAGGACAGGAGGAATTTTAAAGGGCCAGAGCTGCAGGCAGCGTGGAATTACTCAAGCTGGAATTTGGCCAGGGTGCTGGGGTTACACAGCCCCAGTCCTATGAACCGGTCTATAGGAACATTGCCAAAACTCAACACAGTGCTCCCAATACCACTCTGGGACACTGGCTCAGAGTCAGAGGGCCTGATTCTTCCCAAATGCACATGGGTTTCACGCCAGCTTTATGCCAGAGTCTTTATGGCATGACTCCCACTTTACAGCAGTGTAGGCAAGCACAGAATCAAGCCCAGAGAAATAAGAGCTGCCCAGTTATTTGCCAACACCTGGAAGTCTCATCCAAACACTGAGCCAACCCTGCCTGCCAGCTCAGCCTATGAGATAGGACACCAGCACAAACTGGGATGGCAGCAGGTAAAATCTGTTCTATTTGATATAGATTTTTATACCATCTGCATCACCGTAGTATCTGAGTGCCAACCACTCATGCATTAAACAACATCTAATATCAAGTGTGGGTCACTATCTCTCATCCAGTCCCCAGGGGGAGACCTAGGTGTGCAGTGGACTGTTTTGTTTTTTCATTGTGTTTATTTATGACAACACTGCTCTGTGTTTATATCAGAGAAGGCAGGTCAGATAACTGTGTCTGGGGCTTGAGAAGGAGTGGGGAGGTTTGGGATGGTTCTTAGGCCATGGTGGAGTTCATTCCAGAGTCTGGGACCAGCCCCCCAGAACGCACTGTCTCCTGAACAGACAAGCTTTACCCTGAAAGTCCTGCTGTGCCTGTGCAATGGAGTTGTTGACCATGGTCTTGACCCTGCAATCGAGAAGAATTTCTCACCTCTGTAACATAGTGCAGCATGGCCATCCGTGCAATCTTCTCCTGAATAGCCCCATAGTTGCTGATCTTGTCTCCAAACTGCTTACGATTAGCAGCATGATCAACCTGGTGTTACACAAGAGCCCGTGATCACAGCAAGAAGCTAATGTAACGCAGACAAGTGGAATTTTGTCTGTGTCCGAGCTGCAGGATTTGGCCATATATTTCAATTTTAAACAAAATCGAGTTAAAATATCTATACTAAGAGGTCACGCCCTATGTAGCTGGTGTCGGCCGAGCTTGCTGCACACCCCGGCATCTCTCCCATCCCCACAAGATCCCTGTGTGCCACCCTCCTACCCCCTCTAGTTCAGGGACTCACTGCAACCCTCCCATTCACTCCCCCATGCCAGGGACTCTGTGTATATTCCATTTCCCCCTTTCGGGTTTTCCAATTTCCACCAAAATCAATAGGGTTCTGCCCAGGATGCCTAGAAAATTTTCTGACATTTTGCAATCAATTAGATACAGCCTTCCAAAGGTATCACATTACATCCAATCAGAAATGCCACCAAGTTAATTCAAAGGATCTTGTAAGCTCAGCCATCAACTTAACTCCAGTCCCAGAGCCCGAGCCCTTAGCCCAATCTCATCCCATTACACAGAGAGAACAAGAAGAATTTCTGTCTAAAACATATGCAGCTAAGTAAGCTAAGGCCCCAAATCTGGACAAGTCTTACAAGCATGTGGAGAATCCCACTGAAGCCATCAGGACCACACACATGCTTAAAATTAAACACTGACTAAATGCAGATCTTCGACCTGTTAGCTCTTCCAGCATCAGCTCCTGTCTCTCTCTCTGGATGCACATGTAATATGGGTTTCCCAGAGCCAATCCACCACGGGGGTGTCTCACAGAATAACTGATCACTGCGTCTCACTGACTACGCTCTGCTAACATGTGGGACAGCTGGACAGCCCATTTTCAATTGCCCTGCACAAACCTTCCGCACTATCTACTCCTATGTAAAGAACAAGAACGTACAGCTTTGACGATCACTCCACGCATGGTGCCTGACAGGGCGGAGGCCATCCCAAAGCGCCCGTTGTTCAGTATGTTCACGGCGACCAAGAAGCCTTTTCCGAGCTCCCCAAGCAGATTTTCTGCTGGCACCTTCACGTTGTCAAAGTGCACTTCAGCTGTATTGGAACACTTGATCCCCATCTTCTTCTCCGGGGGGCCACTGACAAAACAGAAAAAAACCAGAGATGGCCTCAACCTGACTGAGACCTTTGGACATGCACACCTAGCTGCATGTGCAGTTTCTGTATCTGTGCATGCAAATAAGCATTCTCACATGCATGCTGGTAACTGCATACCCAGGCCCTGATCCTGCAAAGGGCCAAGTGCCCTCTAACTCACAGTGAAGTCAATGGAAGTTGAGGGGACTCAGCTCCTGCTAGGATCCAAGTTACTTGCTCTACACGTAATAAAACCTGGCAGTGTGCAAAGGTCAGTGCACGTTTACGTGTGTTAATTCTGTGTGCAAATAAAATGTGAACACAATGTCTTATATAGAAACAGGGAGCAGTTTAAACATAAAATACATTAAATAACCATTGCGTCTTTCTAAAGGCTCTAGAACGGTTACCTTGTACCCTATGCCGGACCATGTAGCTGCATAACCTCAAGCACTGTAATGCCAACACTTCTCTCCTAGTTTGTCATACTCATTGTAGCAAATCGCTCAGCAGAGGGAAGTTTAAAGGAACATGGATTATATTTTGTTATAAATAGAAAGTGAAAGTGGTGCGTGAGCATAACGGTCTAGCACCCTCTTGTGGCTAGAGACCTGGAAAGCACATCCAAGGACTTCAGCACCTGATAGACGGCTGGATAATCATTATAGCATCCCTGGTTAAAGTCCCACCTGATGGTGCTTGACCCTACAAGGTGCTGAGTCCCTCCAGGATCAGGCATGGCATTTGGCATGGCAGGATGGTGTGGTCAGATGTTCAGCTGCATGTGTGTGTTATCCCAGTGTGCTGTCCCAGCTCTGCACAGACAGCTGGCACAGCAGACCTCAAGTGAACCGTTAAGGTACGAAGGCACCCTGCCATGTTTATTGTCGACAGCACGGTACTAGGATCCCGCAGACTCTACCGGACCATTAATATATGTATGCCCATAACAATGGACCAGCTCAGTGAACAGCGGGACTTTCCGCTCCCCTCTAGACTAGACAGAGACACTCTCTTTGAGGCTCCATTTTACACATCAATACAAAAAGTTACGTACTGCCCCCTGACGTCGTTAGTTGACACCCTCTGATGTAGCCGGTTACACCCCATCACCTTGTACATCTTTATCCATCACAGTGTCATCCTGACCTTATCTTTAGGATGGGGTCAGTGTGCTCCTGTTATCTTTAGGAAGTGTGTTGGTATCAAGGTGTTCTGGTACCACTCTTCTGGTGTTTGTGCGAGTGCTTTGTGCCCAGGACCTCTTAGGAATGTGTGTTTTTGCAATATCAGTCCTGTTCTTGCCAGATTCTGTAAGCAGGGCCTGCCTCTAGCTCACAGCCTGATTTTGCTTTATATCAGCAAAGTTTTGACTGCTACTTTAGCCCAGGTCTCATACCAGGCCTCTGATACAAGGGTTCATGTCTCAGGCTCTCTTCCTGCTACATTCCCCCACTTTTTGTCTTTTTATGGGGAGGATGTTTACCCATCATCCCGGAAAAGCATAATGCATGGGCTGAAGATGACCCAATGGGCTAAACACTGTTATGTGGTTACTTTATTTTGCCATTTATGCATTTATGCCCCATCTGTCCCTTAGTTTGCACATTCCCTCGTATGATTGACGGACAGATTTTATTTTTTAATTGTGTTTAGTTTTTTATGGTGGGCCTGGGAATGTTAGGCCCATGACCAGGACTGAGGAATGTAGTTTTATGATTGAGCTTTGGGGACACTTCTAGATAATTAATATGTATGGATAAAATGGATATGGTGTATATATTTGTATGTTATATATGAGTATATATGTATAGCATGTATGTGTACATATGACAGCACTTTATATTTAAGCATAACAATTTTTTTCTAGTCTGGGTGGTGTAGTTTGGCCCTTGTGGTACTGGAGATAGCAATATTTTTTTTAATTAGGACAATTAGTTACCACCTGTATGACTGTGTTTTTAAATATTGAGATAGGCATAATTACAGTCTGTTTCACAGGGCTGTGTATATGAGAAGTAAACCAGAAATGTGGAGTAGTGACATTACAAACGAGGCCTTTTTATATAAAGGTTTTGTAATTAGTTACTGTGCTGTGCTGTTCAGTCATGTTCTAGGTAACTCTTACTGCTGATTACCTTCAGGTAAACGTTATTGGGCAGGAAACAGGAACGGCTTTTTTGTTTTCTTGGTTGCACGGCTTTGTGATAACCCAGTAGCTGAGATAGATTTAGTTGTTTTTTATGGATGCTGCTTTTTAGATAACCTACTGAATGGACAGTAACGACTTTATTAAATATCGCTGGGTTAGGATTTAGTGTTGGTACCCAGACACTAAACAAGATTGTTTTGAATAACGTGCTTTATTTAGGATGCAGTGTCACTGATCCCAAAGTGTGACTGCGACTAGCAGGGAATTTGTTTACCTAATTTGTAGTTACTATGTAACTAAATTTTTTTTATTAGGGTTTTTTTTGGGGGGGGAGGGGGGCTTGCATGTTGTTTGCTGCCATTTGTTTGTTGATTTTTGCCTGTGGGTTGGTTGAACAGTTTAGTAAAGTTATGCACATTGTAAATGTAGTACAGCAATAATACAGTAGTACAGCGATAAAACTGTTGCTTTTACACAGTAGCTAAATTTAAATTAAATGATAGTTTATTTTGGTCCAGGTAGTAGTTTGTAGCTGATTGCCAATTTAATTGTCCATATACGGTAGACTGAAGTGCAGTTGACCAGTTTTTTACTTATAAAGCACTTCATTCTGTTTTTGATGCTTGGGGTTTTTTTGTTTGTTTGTTTTTTAACTGTATATGGATATCTGGTGTTTTTGTGGTGTAATTTTTTTGGTTTCTAGGATGCAACCTTAAACAACTAAAGTTTTTGTTTGTTTGTCTGACATTTTTGTAAACGTGTGCAGTACCAGTTTCAGACAAGCTGCAATTCAAGGTCACTGGGACAGCACCAGCTGAATGATGACTTAGTTTTAATGCTACCGGTCTGTAATCTAAAATCCAACCCAGCAGCATTAATATCTGCCGTTATCTCTTGGCACCTCACTAGGGGGCTGTGAAAGTTCAGTGGCATCAGTAACCTTTACAAGCCCGTTCGAGAAACCTGCTCAGAGGAGAGCTGTGACTAACTGCAATATTTTTAATTGCACCACAAAAGTGAAATCAGCCTATAAAAACACTCGGTCAGGAGAGGAAGGCTACTCTATTGTCAGCTAGTAATGAGGAAAACAAAACAACACTTATATTCGTTACGCTTTTCATTGTTAAAAGTGCACAAACTAGCCAATGACAGCCCCACGTTTGGGTGGCAGGGAAGTATTGCTATCGCCTTTGAAATGACCAGGAAATCAAGGCGGTTAAGAGACTTGCCGAAGAGCATACAACAAGTCAGTGCTGGAAAGACAGATCCTGGATCTTACTCCTAGGTTGAGTCATGTAAACAGAAGGACATAGGAGCATAAGAATGGCCATAGTGCAAGTGTTCTCAAACTTCATTGCACTGCCACCCCCTTCTCACAACTAAAATTACTACACAACCCCAGGAGGCGGGACTAAAGTCTGAGCCCACCCAAGCCCCACTGCCCTGGGGGGGAGGGGGCAAAGCCCAAGGGCTTCAATCCCAGGTAGGGGGCCTGTACTCTGAGCCCCAATGTCCAGGGCTGAAGCCCTCAGACTTCGGCTTCAGCCCCAGCCCCAGGCGGTGGGGCTCGGGCTTCAGCCCCGGCCCCCAGTGAGTCTAAGCCAGCCCTAGTAACCGCATTAAAATTGGCTCATGACACACTTCGGGGTCCTGACCCACAGTTTGAGATCTACTGCCATAGTGGGTCAGACCAATGGTCCATCTAGCCCAGAATGCTGTCTTCCGACAGCGACCAATGCCAGGTGCCCCAGAGGAAAAGAACAGAACCAGGCAATTATCGTATGATCCATCCCATCATCCAGTTCCAGCTTCTGGCAGTTACAAGTTTAGGGACTCCCAGAGCGTGGGGTTCCATCCCTGACCATATTGGCTAATAGCCATTGATGGACCTATTCTCCATGAACTTATCTAGTTCTTTTTTGAACCCTGTTATACTTTTGGCCTTCACAACATCCCCTGGCAATGAGTTCCACAGGTTGACTGTACGTTGTGTGAAGAAATACTTCCTTATGTTTGTTTTAAACCTGCTGCCTATTAATTTCATGGGTGTGTAGCCCTAAGGATTAATCTTATGGCTTGCATAGATATATCTTTTCTTATAAATTGGAGTATTTGATGTAATATGTTTATAGATTTTGTGACAAAGTTCCTCCTCTATCTTGGTGGGTCCTGCGCTTATTGGCGGATTTTCTTGCCTCGGAGATTCACCAT